TGCGTTAGTCACCTATCCACCACAGTGCCTAAATACTTGAACTAACCAGCTTACCAGGAGAAAGGAAGCATATCAAATACTGGATTCAGAGGTTTTAGTCCATGATCAGTTGGGCCCTTGCCTTTGAGCCTGTGGTAAAGCCAAACATTTTTACCACAGCAGGGTGTGATAACAAAGCTACATATCCAATAGCAGAGAGGAAACAAAAAAGGGGAGACAGGAAGGAATCAGGACCCTAAGAGCTACGTCATGGCCATGCCTCCAATAACCTAACTTCCTCCCACTAGGCTCCACCTTCTAAAGTAAACCACAGACCAGTGACCAGGCCTCCGCCACATGACCTTTAGAGAACATATAAGATTAAAATCATAAAAAGATAAGATAACATGACAATTATAACCTAGTTAAATATCATTTAAAATTCTGTCCAAATTTTACATCCGATATTTCAGAATGCAGGGTTTATTGTGAGCAATGTAGTTTGTCTGAAACCTAATATTTGTTTTGCAGCTAAATATTTCCATTCAGTCCATGAAGCTAGAATGTGAAAAGAATGAAGAGACATTATGTTTTATCTGAAATAAGTAGAGGTTAATGTGTGTGATAAACTTGCCTATTATCTTTAAAAACAGTGTCCAAAAAGCGTAGAAAAAAATACATACACCCATGTATAAACATACCTAAAGATTTTAGAGAATGATAGCTAAATATTTACATATATTGTTGAATTTATCCATTAAAATAAATCTAGACAGTATTAATGGATTTTACAGTTGGGGCTAAAATGCAATGCTGCAATAGTTGAGAGGGTTAAGCAAGTTGTTTAAGGCTACTTAGCTAATAAGAGGCAGAGCCATAGTATCAACTTTGGTCTGCTTGACCTTGAAGTTCACTACCATTTCATCTCTGTGCTTTATACCTCTTTGATTAGAACATCTTTTAAAAGGTGTATTTTCAATTATGGTCTTAATATATAAATTTCAAATAATAGCATTAATACATAATTTAAGTTGAAATATTTTCTTTTTAAAAGAGTCACCATTTCCTCTGCATGTTTTATGAATAATAGGTTAATGTGATACATAATAATGCAGAAAGATTTGCCATGAACTGTATTCTCTGTAAACATGATCTCAGTCCTCATACATAGTAGACTTACGGTGCAAATCTTATTTACAACATTTTCAGTCATAAAACTGATAATCACATGGAGACTCATAGCCAAAGAAGGATTCTGATTTTCTTGTAAGTTGGATGAGAACCCTTTTAAATTTTAATCATGTAAGTATGGGGATTCATTTTAAGATATAAACTATCACTTGGGTAAAGAACTGATTGACCCACAGAGGCAACACTACAGAAAAACTGGATAGGAGATAAGTTCAAACTCAATATACAGGTAGGCAATGGTGATGTTTGGATTGTGTTACAGTAAAATTTGGTGTGTATTTTGAAACCAGTTCTAACAGGATTTACTGATTTTGAACAAGGGGTGCAAAAGAAATGTAATTCTAGGACATCATCTGATTTGGGCATTAACAACTGTATAAATAAAGTTACTGAGAGGATGAACACTGGGTATGAGAAAATGTGAGAGAAATGCAAGAGATTAGCTGAGGATACGTTTGTACTTAGATAAATATCCAACACAGCCAAGCATTGTGTTAAATAGTAAATGCATTGCTACACTCTGCTTACAAAATAAAATCTGCTGATTAACAAAATTTTCAAAAAGTTTACTACTGGTAGTTAATTTTTTTCCTGATAAAACACTAATTTCCTATTATTCTTTCATGTTATAAAAATGGAGTATATTAGTACATGAGGGCAGCTATAGCAAAGTACTGTGAACTAGGTACCTTACAAAACAATGGAAATTTATTCTGGGGAATGGTTAAATCCAATAGCAAGGCAGATTCACTTCTGGTGAAGGCCTTGTTTCTGGTTCTTAGGGCTCCTACTAGCTACATACAGGTGTGATGGAAAAAGGCAGCTCTTTGAAGCCTCTCTTAAAAGGGCACTAATCCCATTTGAAAGGGTTCTTCCTCTTTACCTGTCATTTCCCCAAAGGCTCCAGCATTTTATACGAAGGCCATCAGATTTTGAATTTCAATGTATGAATTTGAGGGGAAGTGAACATTGGCAAGTGGGAAAGGAAATATGCTTAAGAATATTTAAAATTAGTATATATGTATTTTTATTATAAACAGACCACTCATCCTGTTATTTTTCAAGATACTAAACATTTTTACAGTTTAAAAACTGCAAGACATAAAAAAAAAATCGTTTACTCTTATAGTAAAGACAAAAGTTACCTAAAAATAAATCTTTCAGTACTGGGGGATGTAGCTCAGTAGTAGGGCACTAGCCTAGTGTGTGCAGGGTCCTGAGTTAGATCCCCAGCATTGGAAAAATAAACAAAGCAAAACAAGATAAGCTTTTAGGCTAATCTCTTGATCAGCGAAGTGAAGAAAAACAGGATTATATTTGACTGTTCCAAAAATGTATAAACAGTTTTTATTCAACTGTGTGTCTGTTGCTCCCCAGAAAAAAAGTGCATAATTTTATCTCCAAACGTTGAAGTTTAAATACACTAAGCACACTATGGGAAGATATTTTGAAAGCTACTTCCATAATGCAGTCTTTCTGAAGTGTAATTTAATGAACAATCCCTAAAAGTAATTTTTCCCTGTATAGTTTAATGGAAGTTATCTTGAATCTGTAACTAATCTTAGTGGTCACAAAGATGATAACTACACCTCTCTTTCTGAAAAACTAAAAAAGTCTAGGGGACGTTGATCATTTTCTCATAGACTTTTATGCACATAATAACATTCATTTTTGTAGGCATGTATTTAATATATTATAAATAATTCAAAATTGATTTGAATGGTTAAAAACAACTTTTTTGATTTTATAGAGTTTTACTTTATAAATGTAAGTATACGAAACTTTCTTAAAGGACATACATCAAAATATTTTCCACATAGTCCCTAGGCATATGAGGTTGAAGGCAAATGAGATTTCTGCACAGTTTTCTATACTTTGAAATATGTCTATATTGTAAATCTATTTTGTAAAAAAGTTAAATGCTAGCACTTGAGATATATCATTATGGTGACAGAAAAGACATTGAACTAGTTTTAAGCCCTGAGTTTAACCTCAGCTCTACAAATACAATCGGTCTGACCTTAGAATCCTCATTGAAAATGACGATGTATCACATAAATCAAGGCAAGGTAAAAGATATACATGGAGCACTGTAGTAGGAAATATTTATTTTTCTTTTATGTGTTCCAACAGTGTTCAAGGTATTTATGTTTCTTTTCCATATGAAGAAACTAATTTTTTCATGTGTTTATTGTTGGGTTCCAACTATAAACGGCACGACTTCAGAGCCCGCAAGATTGTTCTTCGATTGGAAGGGGTAAGTGGAACAAAACAATAGTTCACTAGGGGTAAACCAAAATGAGGTAGAGGCTTGAATGACAAACATAGGTCAAGAGATTTAATACATATTTTTCTTGAGAACCAAAGAGAATGAGGAAATGGGGAATGGTAAGAGACTATGAATTTCTTAAGAGAATACAATGGAAGGATTTTAAACCGGTTCTCATTATAGAGAATCTAAGAAAACAAAATTAATTGAAAGACTAACCTAATAGTGAGCTACCATTAGGTTAAATTAAATACATACTAAAAAATTAAATTAAATACATACTAAAAAATTAAATTAAATACATACTAAAAAATTAAATTAAATGCATAGGTGTGAAAAATAAATACATTGTTGTAATTTGCCCATATCTATCATGGTATTCATGTTACTCAGATTCATACAAAAACCATCAGGCAGAAGAGGTAAGAAGTTCTTTGCCTGCATCTTATCTTCATCCTCATCCTCCTCCTCATCACAGACTTGGCACTTTTTCTCATTTAGCCTGGGCTCTCCTTTTGCACCCTTATTTTCAAAATTCTCTTAAATCAAAATAACCACCACGAGTAGTTTAAAATGATCTTCAAAAGTTGTGACTTACATTGCTTGTGTGGAAAACAGCTAGCTCATAGTACTAGTAAATTCCATGTTTAGAGTTTGCAAAGAGTACAAGAACCCATAAACATGATAGAAAGTTAGGTTTGGACAATATGTTTTAATGACTAGCTAAGCCCTTCTACCAGTTCTGGGGAATCATGACCCTGAAATTACATATTCTTTTCCTCCTCTAACCTCTCAAGAGGACCTCACCTTACATTCACTGATTAAAAGACATGCAGTAAAGTATCTCCTTGGAGTACCTTGAAACAGAATAAGTAATGCCCTTTTTAAATTAGTGATAGGTGAGTCACAAAGCTTTGAGAAGTTGAGCTCCTTTTCCTCATCTGAACTTTCTTTGATGAGGAAATAAGGCTGGCAAACATGTGAGAATGTATTGTCTCTGGAGAGATCTAGTACCGCTGTTTCAGACTCTGGTTTTAAAATGTTTAAAAATATGAAAAATTTCATTTCTGTAGTTCTGATAACTTCCTCTGAAAGATATATCTTAAAAACAGAAATTTAAAGCAAAGAGAAATATTTTGCTTTTTTTCTGTCACAATTTGACTCATCTCTCATAATTATTAAGACACATAGGAAAAAAACAATCTTACAATCTGACTCTAGATAGGACAGGAAGAATAATGTCTAAGTCTGTGTTATAAAAATAGAAAGAAAAGGCAGAAGGAATGAAGCAAAAGAAGAAAGTAGGGAGGGAAGATTGCTCACTATGGCGTTCTTTGAGCTCTGAGCCTTTTTCCTAAAGTTTCTCTGGCTACCTTGGGAAAACCAAGTGTTGTCTTTCTGAAGCAAATTCTACCTCTAAAAGGGGTGATAATAAGCATTTCCAGTATAACAGAAATACTTGAAAACATTTGTTAATCAATTGGTGTACACACGACTGTTTGATTCTGCTTTTTATGAAATACATCTTGTTAAATCTGTATTTGTAAATCATCTGAAAGTCACCTTAGTCAAGTAGGGCTTCCATAAGCAGTGACTATGGACGGGCTACTGCATCGAGCATGTTTCCTCTTCACAGTTTTGGAGGAGGGCAAGCCCAGAACTGCAGCACTTTCAGGTCCAGGGTTTGGTGTGGGCCTTTTTCCTAGTCGGCAGCCTGCTCCTTGAAGGCTCCTGTAGCAGACAGCAGACAGGAAGAGAAAGTTCTCATGGCTCGATAAGGGCACTAATTCCACTTGTGAATGTCCCATCTTCCCCATCATTACTTCCCAACAAGCCGCCCACAAAAAAGTAAGAAAGAATTATTAAGAGAATCCTAAGAGGATTTTAAAACCTACAAAATAATGTAGTGTTGCAGAATTAGTGGTGCACAAATCTCCAGAAGGATGTGAGTAAAAGAGAAGTTCCTTGAAGTTACAAACATTTTGTATTTGGAATATCATGGAAAGAAATTTGGCATGTTATTTGCAAAAGCAACTGATTTCATTCCTTTTCCTTTTACTTCATAGATAGCTTATATATATATATATATAGTTATAGTTGTTGTTATAGTTATATTTAGTTATAGCAACAACAAGCCCCAGTTAACTAAAAAATCCTCTTCTTATTATGATTGAAAATAAGCCTTCTAAGAATTCACAGTGATTCTGTAGTTAAGGATTTGAGGCTTATGAATCTTTCACATCTTCATATTTTGCTTGCTAAGGTAAGGTGCTTCAGCCTGGAGAGATGGATGATTCTTTTATTAGAACCTCCACTATAGTGAAAAGCCCACACATAATATTACTAGAGCACTACATTATTTCATTCACTTCCTCAAATATGAAACCTCTACTAGACTGTAGTTCCCTGAGGTCAAGACTTGCAAAATAATAATTTTTATATTCTGAGGATGTATTTAAAAATTCATGTAAAACTTATAGAGAAGATTAGAGTGTTCAGAACTCAAAATTTTATTTTCTTCTCCTACTACAATTGAATTTGTATTGAGTTATTCAACTATATTCACCTATGAGTTCACTTCTATGGTAAATTTTGGTAAATTTTAAAACAATTCTATCATTTCTGTCAAGTGGAAAGTACATTATAAGGAAGAAGATCTAGATAGATAGATAGATAGATAGATAGATAGATAGATAGATAGATAGATGTGATATATGAGATATACATATCATATATATATTATTCCATTAATAAGAGATTACAAGGCAGATCGAGGTGGCAGGTGGCAGATTAAAAGAAGTCTTCTGGCTTAGAAAGCATTGGTAGACTATTTCAGTGAAGAATGATCTTCATATAGTTTCTCAAAAGATTCCTGCATTAATTAAGTGGCAAGGAAGCATCAGAAATCAAGCAAACTTGAAAAGGGGTTATGTAGTGCAATGATGAAATCCTGAAGGGAACTGCACAAGCACAAGGTTCTTTGGGGATTGCACTAACACTTTACCATCCCTTCACATCCTTTCCAAGCAAAGCACAGAATTAAAGCAGAATACTCTAAGTTGATGAGATAGTTCAGAAAATACTTTTTTTTTTTTTCTGATTTTTTGCTGTTTTTGCTACTGTGCTTGTCCAGGAGAAAGTGAATACAAATTTTGAATTACAGAATATAATTCCTATGTGTTCACAATCGATTTTGTCAACTGAGTATAATGACCACAGAAATCATTTAATAGAGTGGTTCAGACTGGAGTACAAGGCACATTGATTTGAATTACAGCACACATTTTATTATAATTCTTGATATATATCAGTGATACTCTGAAGGCATACAATAAAAAGATCCCAATTTCACAAGATGTGAAAGAATTAATTACATTTATAGAGGAAATGGTGAATTCTTATTATAAAACAGAATTTGGAGGAAAAAAGGACAAATTTCAGAAGAATTTGAAATATACTTGAAAGCCGAACTTTCCTCAATGCTGAGGTGGTTTTCATCCAATGTAAGGAATAGCTTTTGACCTGACTAAAAATATAGGAAGGAATTACTTTATCATTGAAATTCTCTGGCAAGGAATGCAAGGTAATCATCCACATCTATCAATAAAAATTTTTGCAATTACAGAAGGATTAAACATAGGTGATAACTTTCAATGATAAATTTTTCCCTCAGTTCTAATATTACAGGTGATGTGATAGAAATAATGCACAGACTTTTCTAGGAAAAGAAGTGAGAGAAAAATTGTATGAAAGATCTTTCAAAGATTTATTTACATTGATATTTAAATTCTATTACCTACAATCAGAAGAAAGTACAAATTGATTAAAACCTGATTGTGCTCATTCAATTAAATAGTAACTAGGGACTTGCTGTGTCTTGCTCAAAATCAAATTTTACCTCTATAATTTTAAGGAAATGCAGAGATTCTCAATATCTTATGGGTTTCTTCTTCAGTTTAAACCTTAGTGAGGAACATTTATTTGGTTTTAAAAGTGTGGTCAGCTGCCAGAACATTCTGCTGACAATTATAAAGAAAAAGTACATTTATCTAGAGAAAAGAATTGCTTTCTGGGGTGTTTTCCAAATGAACATAACATAAATGTGACAGAACACTGGGTGAACTACATTAAACAAAGGAAGTTTACCGCAGTTCTTCCTTCCAAATTGAATTAGGTACCAAATCCTCAATGAAAAATACAAATAAATAAATAGATAAATGAATAAAGCATAAAAAGTAAACAGCATATTAAGCAGACTGCTAATAATAGACACCCTAAATTATGTGTCCTCTGTAGAGAACAAGGCAGTAATTTCATTCATAAACAAATTGAGAAAAAGATACAGAAGAACAAAGAATTTCAATGAATATCATTATAGTTTGAAAAGTCATGATACAAGAGTAATACTTCTGGGACCTCAAGAGCCATTGAACACTATGATTAAAAATCAGTCCACCCCCGATTTCAAGGGTCAGTTTCTCCCCACGTACACATGTTAAAGGTGAAGTTTGATTTATGTTTTTACTTCAGCACCTACAATTTTTCCCCAGCATATCTGTTCTTACTTGCTTCATGCATCTCTACTAAAAAGCTTTGCTGTTTACTACGCATGATCAAAAAGGCCACTGGAATTCAGCCTTTGCAAAGTGATGTTCCCATTTGCTGGGATCTGGCAAGGACACATTTTCTTTAATGGTTTGCCTAGATGTTCCGGCCCGCGGGTACAGTCAACTAAGACCCTAGAGGGGGAGTGGGGATTATAAAGGGACAAGAGACACGAAGAATGGAGACAAGACAGTGCTCTGATCAAGTCTCATTTATTAGCGGGAAGTGCCGTGCTTATATACCGCACGGAGAAACGCGGAAGTTCTAAGGCTGGAATAACCAAGTAACCCGACAAAGGCGGGAGTAACTAGGTAACGGTGGGCAGTCCTAGTTCTTGAGGCGGGAGTGGCTAGGCAATGGTAGGCCATCCTTACTTAAAGGGAAAGACGCGTAAGACGGCTACTAATATACAATGGAGGTCAGTCTCGGTCTCCTACACGTAGAAATGAGCCCTGGCAGAAAACAATGGTGCTTTTATCAGGTACCACGAGGAAAGCTTTAGAAGGGGTATTAACTAAGTTGTACACAGGGTGTTCTAGGATGATTCTCAACCTCATTATAGGAGCCCTGGGTCTGAGGAGGCCAGGAAGGAGAATATTGTCATGAACATGAAAGAGGACAATAAAAGGGAAAGGATCTCTTGGAAGGAGGATCTTATGCTGAGGGACTGAGCAAACCAAGGCTGCCCCAAAACAGACTCTGGGTGACTGAGTACTCCACCCCTACTCTTCTCTGCCTCACCAGAGGACACAGGAGCGTCTTGATGTAGCTCTTACTGGTCAGGTGCATGGGGTCACACAGCGTGGTAAACAAAGGGTAGAGGCAGAGACAGTAGAGACCAGAGGCAGAGAGACAAATGGGACAGATCCCCTAGATTCTTAGGGATCATAATATGATGTTTGTTATTCCTTATCCATAGGTTTTAGTAATTGAGTAGTAGAAAATAAAATGGTGTGTATATGCCATCATTTGCAAATCTTTAACAGAGACTTGATGAACCCCTTCTCGAGGGCTGGCTTTCATCATGTTTCCAACTTCTTATAGTAAATTAACCCGTAATTTCCCTTTCATATCTAAGTGTGTATTTTTTTATAACACATTCCTTACGCTCAGAGGGCACAAACTCATCACAAGATTTAAGCTGTCTTCCCACAAGCATGTTTTTCTTTAAGAGACCTGAGAAATCACAGAGAAGAGAGCAGCACAAATGTGTATGGGGAAAGAAGGACTTTCAAGTAGAAACAGCTTGGAGGTCTCCCTATCTGATGCATACACATCCATATTTGTCCACTTGTCTATAGGGAAGTGTAGCAAGCCTCACACATAAATATACAAAAACACACAGAATCGTACACATACAAAGATGCATGCATGTGCTCCCACAGATACAAACACAGGAGAAAGACTATTATTTCTCTAGGACTGTACTTTATGATAAAAACTACAAGGAGAAAATAAACATTTTTTCCTACTGAGACATTCTCAAACTCCACAGTTATCAAGGTGAGACACAATGGAATTACTTTTGATTACTGTTCAGAGCTGTGTAGTTTCTTTGTTTATCTCCAACTGCCCTTTATTTTCAAATAGAGCTCTCTTGTTCCTGGAGAGAATAAGAAATACAACACTTACTGACTCATGCACAGCAGAAGACTACTTATCCAGAAAACAGAACACAAGAATCTTCCCAATAACATAGTTAATCCATGATGACTTTCTGTGATCATCCATTTGAAACAAATAATAACAAAAATGTTTTAAAAATAATTGAAGAACTCTATGCTATACAGCACAGAGTACGATAACACCATCTTCTGCTTGTTATGAATGAGCTAAGGAATATCAGATGGTCCAGTCTGTGCCTTGTGAGCACAGAGATATGTATCACATTAATAAATGAAATTAGTCAAATTCAGTTTAGAGTCAATTTACAAAGATCATGGCTATAATAAATAAGAATTAAAATATTGATAAGTATATATCCCAGTTGTGCAAATTATGTCACCATCTTCCCGTATGCAGGTCAACAAGAATTTTCTATAAATGGAACTTGCACGCAATTGTTATTATTGAATGCTATATTTTAATCATAAATTCATATTAAAATTCTAATGGCTTGAGTAAGAAACGAAAAAGTAAAATAATTATGTTATGCTACTAAATATTTTGTGTAACATACATGAATTTTACTTCATCTTTAGGAAACCATTTTTGATTCATGGGAAAATGTTTAACATACTCTTTTGTAGATTTGTAGACTATGAATACTTAATTTAATTTGAGGTCACCATATATATAAAAATACTTGGCTTATGTGTATATATATATTTATATACATATATATTTGCTTCTTATCACCTTATATTCTCTAATGTGCATTAGATTTGTATTATAAATCCATTTTCTTTATTTCTGTCAATGTATATTTTGGACTTAAGTGATACAGGTTTCAGAGTAAACCTTGACATTTTCCAGTACAATGTTTTTAATATGCTTTCTAACAATTGCTTTGGGCAGCTAAAGACTTATCTAAAATGTGGGAATAATTTATGTGTCTTAGTTTGAGCACTTAGACAAAGTACTGAGCTGTTTCTTGAGCTCTGAGCACTGAAAATACTCTGTTCTTTTAGATTAAAGACGCAAACCCAAGACTGCCCTCTCAGAGCATCTGGTCCTCCGTTATTCAAAATCTAAGCAGACACATTTTGCTCTTCAGTCAAGAGCCTACAAGTAGAGTGAGGGACCTGTTGACTCAATTCTGCTTTTAAGGGTCTGCTCGGTCCCAGGAGAGATAAACAGAAACCATGGTAGTCAGGATAAGGTGTCTCTGTGAAACCAGAAGCATCAACTGGATAAAGAGAACCATTAAAATACAAGAGTCTTGAGAATAAGATGCCTTGCCAGAAAGGACGAGTATAGAAGTATAAAAAAACACTTTTTCATGCGGAAGAAAGAATAGGCATTTTTTTACCTCAACAGAGCTCAAGCAATGACTGTGAAGAATTGACTAATTATATAAGACATTATTGTGCAAACAATTGTGAAGCTCTCTGGGCTACTTAGAAGGGCCTTTAAGATGTGCAAACTATTTATACGAACATGCTTCTGTAATGGGGGGGAGACAGTTTTCAGAATTCAAGGAATTTTAGTTGCTGCAGTCTAAGGATATGGTATTTTTCTCTGTTGAAAGTCAAATCATAAACTGGAGGTGGGAAGGTCTGGCACAAGTCTTGCAAACATAAACAGTAGGAGGTCAGCTTTTGTGGCCACAACTAGCAGCTTTTGTCTGGCATACTCCTCTGTCCAAGTAGCTATATGTAGCTAATATAAAACCCAATTAGAAAAAGCTGTGTTTTATGATGCAGATGATCAACATTGATCTTCTTTTATTTAATAATCTTATTTTGTATTCATTCTGAATATTTCATTGAATGAGCAGACAAAATTAATACATAAAATACATCTTGTGATTAGTGCTTGGATAGTCTATTTCATCATGAGTCATTTAAATTGTAATTTGAGATTACAGGTATGTATAATATATGACAATATGAAGAGAAAAATAGAACAACACTTGGCTTACCTAAATCTAATCAATAGTCTCTCTAGTCAAGTTTGCCTTTGGTGATAAAATGAATTATCAACTCCTCGAGTGGCCAGGTTTAACTCTCACGGATGCCATTAGGATAGCAGAGTCTCTCTTTGTGGCTGACAGATGCTAGGATCAAAACTATTTTCAGTGCATTTGTAAATATATGAAAAGATGCCCTATCATTAAATCACTACAACTAGCGTAGATCTTTTGCAAATGGGAAGGGGGCCCAAGAGCCCCACGGTGAAGGGAGGTGGGGTGTGAAGGGAGAATAAAAAGATTTAGGATGTGGCACGTACATGGGCCAGATATCCCCAATGTGTGCAGCTGGTATGTGTTGCAAGCATGAAGCAAAATGATTGTAATAAAAACAATAATCATGAAAATGGGGACAAGAAGAGACAGAAGGAGGATAGTGGGGAGAGGGAGGGGAATAAAATAAATAAAGACATGCTATGTACCTGTACCTACTCCCTGAGATGGATGTCAGCTTCAAGTAGAGCAAACATGTACTGATAAAATAAAATTTGTAAGAATAAATAAAACCTATGACCTCTCTTTAGAATTTTACATGTTCAAGTAGTATAATTATCATTAAAATTCTTTGACTAAAGCTCCATCATATAGCTTTAATATAAATGCTCACAATCTATAGACACATGCTGTGATGTTAACATGAATGCTATTAAAAACACTGACAACCAGTTTAAGAAAAGAAATAAGGGCCAAATGGCAAATGTTTAAACAGCATCTTGTAAATGCTCACATGACTTTATCATCTTCACTCTAGATGAGAGACTGAGGAAAATGAGAATTGCTTAAATTAGTTTTTAAGATAAAAAAGCTAAATGTAAAATGCTAATTAATGTGACAGTAATGATGATATTCTCCAGAGAACTAGAACCCTTCTCCAATTTTTAAATTGCATAAAATAAAGCACATTTATTAACTTAATATGCTACATTACTAATACTTATACACTTTTTCTTCAGGCAGAATAATGTGAAGATAAAATAATCTGTATATGAATTCCAATAAAATTGAGTAGGTAGTCAACAAATCTTACTAATTGAAATAATTAACTTAAGTACTACTTAAAGTCAACTGATGACTAAACTTGTATTGTGTAAGCATAAAAGACTCAAAGTTACTTTTTGCTCAGGTCAGGACATTAATAGTCATTAAGAATTACTTTTTATATGATTTCAAAAATATAGTACACATTCTACTTGGTATAATTTTAGTCATCTAAAAGAAATGCCTCTGAGAAGCTATGGCATGTTGTTGCAAGGATAAATAAATTCAAGAAAGCTTTGTAAAATTATAGTTATAATCACTAAAAGAAATTGATAATTTTATTATTACAGGAAATATTGAAATGTGATTTTCAGTGTATAACTTGTGGTGTTTATACAGATTCTTCCATCATATATATATATATATATATATATACATATATATATACATATATCTTCTTTTTACTTTTCCTTATTTAAAATAAAAACAAAAGTAAAATTAAAGGGTAAAGGACTAAATTGTCTCACATGTTTTATGCGTTCTTTGGCATATTAGGCTGGTTTTCAATCTGTATATGATAATTAACATTTTTAAGTCTTATAAATAAATGAATTAGATACTGGAAAAATAAAAGCATGGGTGGAAAGAA